CAGGAGAGAAAGGGCACATCCATCGCATTAGAAAGGTAAGACTACTGATATTAAAATATAAGTTGTGTGCTTTTATTTGTAGAACAAAAAAAGTTATTATTATTAAGGTTTATTTAATATAGTGCTTTTATCCAAAGTGCTTTACAATAGTTAGCTAACGGTACAAACAATATTTGGAAAGATCATTAAGTGGTCCGCCGAGGCCATCAGCAATTTTCAAGTGGTCCGTGAAAAAAAACGTTTGAGAACCACTGGCTCAGAATGTTCTGTTTCCCGGATAAAGGTCTGAACAAGTGTCACATTTGTATGATTTTTATCTTTGCTTTTTTAAAGGTTGCTCTCCCCTTTAGGACCTGATTTAAAGCCCCCTGAAGTCAATGGAAGGACTTCTGGTCATTGGATCAAGCCCACAGTTTTTTGTTTTTGTTTTTAGCTATGAGTTTGCTGCCAAAGCATTTAATGCTCTGGCCTTTTTACAGAGTTGTCACACAACATCACAGCAGCTTAATGTTATTAATAATGATTTTCACACTACCTTAAACTCAGATTATAGTGTTAAAGAGTTAGTTACAATAATTTACTAAGGTAAAACATTGGTGGTGGTGTTGCAGAAATGTCAGTCCCAAACAATCCATTACCAGTTTTCCGAGAATTTGTTTCACCTTGAGTCCTAAATACTGCCAAAACTGAGTGGTTAACAACAGTACCTTAAAGTCTGAAAGGGCAGTATTGCTATTATAAACATATAATTTTACTCACAACAAGCAAATATGAAAAAAAAGAAAGAAAGAAAAAGAAAGACCTCTGATACCCTTTGTTGGTCTGATTGAGAAACTGGCAGTTTTGGGGCAGCTGGTATTCATCCCTTGCAAGCAGCAAGGACCTAGAACATGTTTCTACAGGTGTATAAATACTAATTATATAGCCCTAAATACAGCTTGCAGCAGATTTAACATTGTTAATAATACTGGCATGAATCAATCCCAGTCCTAGAAGGCATAATATGAACCCTGACATTGTTTGGGGTATAAATAAATCAGTTCTCTGGTAACAAAGTAGCCCATTAATTTTGCCTGTTTCTTCTATCATTCCAGCCAAAGACAGTAAACAAAGTACACCCTATGTGGATTCCTTCCATGTTGCCAATGTAACAAGCTGCTCTAGAGTCACTAAAGAAAATAATTACATTCGAAAAAATAATCTGGGTTTTACATCAGAGAAAGCTTTGACAGAAGCCAGCTAAAGATAATTAATCTTAGAAGACTGAAAAAAAATGATTATTACTACAACCACATTTAATACTGTGCTTATAAATGCTTTATTTTAGGGTCAATTCAGTGGAGTATACTATCTTTTAAATGAAACATCTTCATCCAAGCAGCTGTAGCGACATAATTTAAGCTTAAAACTTCATTGTTTGGGATTCATTATTATTTCCTGTATTATTCACTGTAAAGAAAAGTAACCCATCTGCAACAATGCTGAAATACAAACAGGACATATATTGTGCATAGGAAATGGACGAGGCCATGCGGAAGGGCCAGGATCAGGAGGGGAGTGGAAGTCCACACTGAAGTCTGGTTGGGACTCTGCAAGGGGGCACCCGGTCCCCAAAGAGCCAAAATTTGGGTGATAATTGGTAAAACCATGAATACTGTTTTTTTCAAGACCTAGGGATTTTTTTGGGGAAAAAATCAATAAATACTGAAAATGATGGGCCTTAAGTATGCATGGGAACAATGCAAGGCCTTTTCCAGCAAAACATTTAAACAGATGCTGAACTTAAGTAAATGAGTGGTCCTATTGAAGCAATTGGGACGCCTCACATACTTATGCTTCGCTGGATGGGAAAACAAATTTCTCTAACACCCTGTTTATGTACCTCAACTGATGACAAAGTGATGTGAAAAGGTATTTCAGTTTTCATGGTCCATTCTGTCCTTAGCTTCTTTACTGAAATGGTTTGCTGTGGAACCAATTAATCCTTTTATAATCTAAGAGTTCTCCATAACAACAGTGGTGTTGCAGGTTATCTACTACAGAATCTGCTCTTAGCTTCTTCTATGAACAGCTAGTTTTATTTTGATCTATAAGGAAGAAGTTAAACCATACTGTGCTTTTTATAAATCTTTAAACTTGTGTAATAGATATGGCCTTTTTGAAGTGCATTTTTTCCATAACCTAGTTCTGCTATTTCATTATTTTAGTGGACGGTTAACTTGCTTCTAACTCGGTCTGCACTGCAAAAAAGGCTTCAAGCTTTGCCAATAGCTTGGGAGTGGCCTATGAAGTCAATGAAAACCACAGAGGTAACTAGCAAACCATTTCCAACTCTCCCAGAAGGTTAAGAAGTGTCAGATAAAAGTTGAAAAGATAAAAGAATTAGTTTAGGATTTTGAAGGCTTAGTGGAGGAAAAGTTTTGCTATTATACAGTTAGAATCATCATGTCCTATTTAGCCAACTGTGAATAGCAGGGATAACATATTGGATATGAAATCCTGCAGTTTTGCCAGAAGTGGCAAAAATCCTGGTTTGAGTATAGAGTCCATATGAGCAAATCAAAGAGAAGTACTCCTGAAAGCTGATAAGCCAAACTGATCCCAGATGTAATTCCAATGAAGTCACTATATTTACACAATGCATAAATCTAATCCTGTATAAGTGCCTGCCCCCAACTTGTTTCTTAGATTGCTATGTTTGAGAATGTTATTTCCAGCAAAGTTTGAAGTTCACCTCATTAATTTAGGTCCTCCTGATCCTGCAAATATTTACTCATGGGAATAAATTGTGTGAGTAATCCCATTGAAGTCAATACTTCTTGTGTCAGTGAAGTTTTACACATAAGTGCCTGAAGGACTGGGGCCTTAGATTCTAAACTTACAATGCAGGGAATAGGACAATCAGCACTATATGAATGGATTGTGATAACAGTAATAGCTTTCATCAACTTCATTGTACCTTCAAAAAGCTATTTTCACAAAAAAGGTTTCATTTTTTTTCAACGAAAGAAAAATGTTGACTGTTTGATATAGCATAAGTTACAGACAAAACCCAAATAGAGGATATCTGAAATGTTCTTTCTTCCATAAATAGTGCTCCTAGTAATGGGATATGAAGTCAAATATCTGTAGGAGACTGACTAAAATCTGTCTCAAGTCAACATTATTATCTTATGTTAACAGCTATTCAGTTGTGATATGAATTAGCAGACTCAGTCCTAGTCACTAGTGTATAGACATTTCAGCTAATGAACACCCTCTTGGCCTTCTCCACAATGAGGCCAAGCAATGCATAGGCATGGAGACTAGATGTTAAATCATGTAGGTGCTCCCTCCAGACCATAACATACCTAGGCCTAAAATCATAACACTGAGTTGGAATCTTTAGATCCAAAGCACATGCCTCTACCACTTGAGTTAACAGACCAACAGGTACTAGAAGTGAGCTACTATCCTCTATGTAGATCAGGCCTGAAAGGGGAATGAGACACACACTTTGTCAGTGGTTTCACAGCTCTTTGCCAGGCAGCAGAAGAATGTTTTCTGTCAGGAATACTTGGTTCCATTCCAGATTCTGGAGGACAGCATACTCTAGTGCAATGGTCTAAAACACGTGGCCTGCGGGGCTCTTGCGTGTGGCCCGCCAGGCTCCCCGCGCACCCACCCCCGCCCCTCTGCCTACCCACGGGATTGCCCCCTGTGGCACTGCGAGCCCCGCGCCGCTGTCTGAAGCAGCTGGTAGCACGCCCCTTTGGGCCGGGGGGTGGGGGGAAGGGGAAGGAGGCAGAGGGCTCCTGCATTGCCTCCTTCCAGGCACCGCCCCCCGCAGCTCCCATTGGCCAGGAACAGGGAACCGCGGCCAATGGGAGCTTCATGGGAGGTACCTAGAGGAGCGACAAGAGCAGCGCACACACGAAACCCTGAGCCCCCTCCCTCCCCCAGGGGCTGCAGGGACAGGATTCCAGCTGCTTCCTGGAACAGAGCAGCGCGGGGCTGGGGGCCAGGGCAGGCAGGGAGGGAGACTGCCCTGGCCCCGGTGCGCACCGCTGCCACCCCGGAGCCGCTCTACGTAAGTGACACCGGGCTGGAGCCCACACCCTACACCCCAACTCCCTGCCCTGAGCCCCCTGCCACATCCCACACCCCAACTCCCTGCCCTGAGCCCCCTCCCACATCCCACACCCCAACCCCCTGCCCTGAGCCCCCTCCCACATTCCACACCCCAACCCCCTGCCCTGAGCCCCCTCCCACATCCCACACCCCAACCCCCTGCCCTGAACCCCCTGCCACATCCCACACCCCTCCTGCACTCCCTTCCCTGAGCCCCCTGCCGCACTGCTCACCCTCTTGCACCCCACCCAACGCCCTGCCCTGAGCCACCGGCGCACCCTGCACCCTTTCTGCACACCCTGGGGGCAGCACTGGGGTGGGGACTTTGGGGAAGGGGTTGGATTGGGGCAGGGAAGGGGTGGGAAGAGGTGGGGCAGGGGCGGGGCCTAATGGAAGGGGTGGAGTGGGGGCGGGGCCAGAGGCAGCGAGGGGGGGTGTCAGTGATGTGGCCCTCGGTTCAATGCACTAGTCCTCATGTGGCCCTCATGGTCATTTGAGTTTGAGACCCCTGCTCTAGTGCTTTAAGACCTTTCTGCTCTTGTGCCCCACAGCTTTGCCCTCTTCTGTCCCTGCCCCATCAAACCTGTCCCTCTGCTCCTGTCCCCTCTTTGTTCCCAGGGACCTCAGCTTGTCCCTGTCTCTCAATTCCATCTGCAAACTTCAAGTTGAGTGCCGAGGTGGCTCACACCCCACTGGAACCTGACTCAGCCCTAGATGTGTATTTCATGCCTGCAAATGGAAGCACTTATTCTAATTAGGAACACAATAACTAACAAAAATGTATAATAGTTTCCCATTTTGTCTGTAGAAAAACATAATACCGGTACTTGTTTAGGAAAGAGTGAGGGAGAAATTAAGAACCCAAGAAAGAGAGTTCATTGAGTACTTACAGGATCAGTGAACTCTGGTAAACTGGCTTGGTAGGTGAGTGGCCTACAGTCACGAGTGTTATTCACTAAGACACATGGGAGAAACATTGGTCCAAGATCATCCCCATCAAGCACATCAACTGTGAGGGTGGTTGTACTTGTTCTTCGTTCATTAAGATTTTGAGCCCGGTCCTGTGGAGTAAAAGGGTATTTCTATAAATATGATTTGGAGAATTTAGAACACGGTCCACACAAAAACGTTTTTTAACTTAAAGTTAAGATTGATCATGAACATATCCTGTCAAAACAATCACGAAAAATCTGGGAAATTGCTAGTTACAGAAGCATTGACTTTGACGTCACCTCCATGCTCCCCATCATCACAACCATACAAATCCACATGCTCATTATGAATGCCACAACACCACATTCTCTTCCAATATCAAATCTGCTCTCCTCCAAAGTTAAAGAAAATATGAGACAAACCTCAAAAAAGTCATGGGTTCTTTTTTAAAAAGATTAATCAAAACTTTGGGTGTCTCTTCTAATAGTTTATTTAACTCCCTTTGCCCAACTTCAATGTGTGCAAGACAACAACAGTTCTGCCAATTCTTGCAAATTCATAGTGAATAAGGAGATTTTGTCTCTCACTGTATGAGCCCTTGCTAGGGAACCCAACTAAGACTAGACCCCTTTGTGGTAGGCAGTGTACAAACACATGGTAAGAGACAATCCTTTCAATTTCCGCTACTCCCTTTGAGAAATATTTCTTTCATGTTCCTCAAAAATAATTCCTTGTTATTTCCCTGGTAATATTCAGGTAATAGCCAGATTCTAATCTTGATTACTTTCTGCTAAATTGAGGACCCTCAAACTAGTAGGCCCAGATCCCAAGCACTGAATACACCAATGTATTATGCAGAAGGAGACCTTAGAAAATACAACTATCACTACTACTAATTCATGATCCCATCTTAATTTGTTACCTTTTCAGCATGACCTTGATTCAGCACATGCTTAAATCTGTCCCTATTCTACACAGCATTTAGGTACATCAGGGGGTGTTAACCATTTAAAAAATGTTTTTCTAAATAGTGATAGACCTAAGTATAAGCTAAAGTGCTCTCCTTAATTCATACATGTTAAGGCCAGAAGGGACCATTATAATCTTCTGGTCTGACCTTCTACATAACACTGGTCATAGGACTTCATCCAGTAATTTCTGCATCAAACCCGTATCGTCTGTTTGAGCTACAGAATACCTTTTAGAAAGATATCCAGTCTTGATTTGAAGAGTTCACATTATGTAAAATCCACCACAGACCTAGGTAAGTTATTCCAATGTTTAAAAATATGCACCCTATTTCTAGCCTGAATTTCTCTAGCTCTAGCTTCCAACCCACTGGCTCTTGTTATTTTTTTCTGGAAGATTAATGATATGTATTGTATCAGAAATGTTTTCCTCATGTAGGTACTTTTAGAACAAGATTGAGCTTCTTAAATGCATCACCATGGTATGTAGGTATGTCTACACGGCCAATGAAGGTATGATTGTAGCACAGGTAAGCATAGCTGTGTTAGCTTTAATCTACCAGCAAAGGTGACAATAATAATGCAGATGAGGTGGAATAAGCTTCAGCATAGGCAGGTTACCCTTGTACAAGCACACTGGGGATCCTGTTTTTTTACTCACGTTGCTAGCCCATGCCAACAACTCTGCTACTACAGTAACTCCTCACTTAAAGTCGTCCCGGTTAACATTGTTTCGTTGTTACATTGCTGATCAATTAGGGAACGTGCTTGTTTAAAGTTGTGCAGTGCTCCCTTCTAAGGTCGTTTGGCAGCCACCTGCTTTGTCCACTGCTTGCAGGAAGAGCAGCCCATTGCAGCTAGCTGGTGGGGGCTTGGAACCAGGGTGGACCGGCAGCCCCCCTATCAGCTCCCCCAGCAGCTCCCCGCTCCCCTAAGTTCCCTGTGCAGCAGCTGCCCAGCAGGCTAGCAATTGCAGCTGTCCCTCCCCCCACTGCCATGTGCTGCTCCTGCCCTCTGCCTTGGAGCTGCTCCCCGAGACTCCTGCTTGCTGTGCAGGGGGGAGGGGAGGAAAAGGGGGGCTAATGTCAGGGTGTCCCCCTCCCTCCTGCTCCTGCACCCCGCTTACCCCATCTTCCATAGAGCAGGGGGGACACACAACAGGACTCAGGACAGAAGGAGCTTGCTGGAAGCAGCAGCAGCTGCGGTCTCAGCAAGCTGATCTAATTAACAAAGCAGTGTACTTAAAGGGGAAATGCGCATCTCTCTCTCACACACACAGTGTGTGTCTCTCTTTGTGATGCTCTCTCCCCTCCTTCCATTCCTGCTGCCTTGTAGACTGTGAGAGTTAACCCTTGAGGGCTCAGCCAATTGCTAGTTCATCATTTAGCAGTAAGGCATTCCCTGGAAAATATCCCACCCTCTGACTCCTCCACCTCAACCGAGTTTCACAATCATCATCACTGTGTACCAGTATTAAATTGTTTGTTTAAAACTTATACTGTGTGTGTGTGTGTCTGTGTATCGTCTTTTGTCTGGTGAAAAAAAATTCCCTGGAACCTAACCCCCTCATTTACATTAATTCTTATGGGGAAATTGGATTCACTTAACATTGTTTCGCTTAAAGTCACATTTTTCAGGAACATAACTACAACGTTAAGTGAGGAGTTACTGTATTGTTACCTGTACTAGCTAAACTAACGTTAGTATGGGTAAGCCTACCAGTGCTACAATTGTACCTTCACTTGCAGGGTAGACATACCCTATAAGACATGTTTTCCAGACGTTGAATCATATTCTTGTTGCTCTTTTCTGAACCCTTTCCAATTGGTCAGCAACCTTTTTGGAGTGTGAACTCCAGAACTGGACACAATCTTTCAGTAATGGTATTGCTAATGTTGTACACAGAGGTAATACTACCTCCCTACTCGTATTTGATATTTTCTTGCTTAGGAAACCCAGGATTGGGACTGCCATCTTTGCTACACCACACCGTGACCTCATATTTACTGGCTGTATAAACATTAACTCTAGGTCATTTTCATTGCCATCGCATTCCAGAACCTTCCTCTCACTTTATAAGTGTGACTTATATTCCTCATTTCTACATGTATGACCTGGTGTTCAGCTATATTAAAAACCTGCTTTTCAAATGAGATCACCTTATCAAGTGATTCAGATTGGTTTGTAAAACTGACCTGTTCGCATCATTTACCACGCCACCAATATTGGTGTCATCTGCAAATTTTGCCAGCAATGTCTTTGATATTTTCTTTCAGATCATTGATAAAGATACTGAATTGCTAAGAACAGATCCCTGCAGTATCCCACTAGAAACACCCCTTATGAATTATGATTCTCCATTTACAAGTAATATTTAGTTCTATCAATCAAATTTTATCCCTATAATATGGGCTACATTGATTTTGTGTAGTGCAATTATTTTTAATCAAAATGTCCTATTATTTTTTTTTTAAATAGGAGCATGAAATGCCTTACAGAAGTTAAGTATTATGTTAACACAGATACCTTTATCAACCAAACTTATAATCTCATCAAAGTGGGGGCCATCTTTTTTAGTGTCTTATACAGTATATTTTGTAATTGAAGCTACATCTTGATAATAGATCATGTGTAAAAACAGAATTAAGCAAAAATATATTAACTGGAGAAAATACTAGTGAAAACTTGCAAAAATTTCCCTTTTTGTTTCAGATGACTATGATATTCTTCTGTCTTAAAACGATGACTAATGTTGCTGTACATTGTTAAACAGAAACAACTTCTCTGCTTCACCCCAGGAGTAGTTGCATTTCAATGGTGGATGATATGGTGCCTTTTTAATACAGCAATTTACATACTTTTTGATCCTCTGGAATGAAAAGCATTAGACAGGATAAATTAGATACTTGGTCTGATCTTCGCCTCACACTCCACTTTCTCTTTTAAGATAATATGTATAAATAATGAATAGTAACTGGAGTAGGAACTTTTACTTGGGTCTTCCTACTCCCAAGTGAGAGCTCTAATCACTAGACTATAAAATTATCCTCACTTTCTCTGGCCCAATGACTATTTATTTATATAAAGTGGAACAACTTCAATAGGAGAGACACAAAGACCTATCCCAGAATACCCTATAGTGTGGTGGTAAGTGTACTTACCTGCGAGAGGGAGGCATGCACTGAATTCCCTGCTCCAGAGAAGGAATTTGAATTCAGACTTCCACAGCCTCAGTGAAGGTGCTAGCCACTGGGCTATTAGGCATAAGGGGAGCACCACAACTACTACCTCCTCTGACCATTTTGTTAATGGCATCTAAGTCCCCTTGTGAATCCAGCCTGAAAAAAATGTGGCCAAAAACATTCTGCAAATTTGCAAATAGTTTTGAGTTGACAAAAACTGCATTTTTTGGTCAATAATCTATTCTCTGAGCGCTCTTCTACAACACCTGAGCACTCAAAACTTCATTGAAATCAATTCCTGTTTGATTACAGTACCAGATTTGAGCATGTCCCGCTCAATGGAGCCGTCCGCCACGGGAACCGAGACAAGCGTTGCAGGAAGTGCGGCTACTCCAACGAGACCCTGCCCCATGTCCTGTGCAGCTGCAAACCCCATTCCAGAGCCTGGCAGCTGTGCCACAACGCCATTCAGAACCGCCTGGTGAAAGCCATCGCACCACGCCTGGGGGAGATCTCCGTGAACTGCGCCATCCCTGGTACCGAGAGCCAGCTATGACCTGACGTGGTCATCACCAACGAGGCCCAGAAAAAGATCATCCTCATCGACGTCACGGTCTCTTTTGAGAACAGGACCCCGGCATTTCGCGAAGCCCGAGCTCGTAAGCTGGAAAAGTACGCCCCCCCGGCTGACACCCTGAGAGCGAAGGGCTACGAGGTGCAGATGGACGCCCTGACTGTCGGAGCCCTGGGCGCTTGGGACCCCTGCAACGACCGTGTGCTGCGGACCTGCGGAATCGGTTGACGCTACGCACGGCTCATGTGGCGCCTCATGGTCTCAGACACCATCCGATGGTCCAGGGACATCTACATTGAGCACATCACCAGCCACCGACAATACCAGGAGGTGTGAGCTAGAGTGACATTGTTTTTCGACTATGAGAAAGGGACCAAGAGACTTTCTCCATTGGATCATATGAACTGGAACCATAAACTCCCTGAACATTAAATCTCACCAAATGAGGGTCAATCCATCCTCATCATCATATCTACTCATTATACTCCACACCCGTACATAGCCACTATATGAACTTCATACCCTCATATCTCAATGCCTGTATTTTGACCCATCAACCTTTTACCCCCAATCAGGGATATTGCAAATTATGTATTCCTTATGCTACCTGATCTTAAACCAAACTTTGCACCCTCGATAATCTGTACATTATTCCCTGATAACCAGAAACTTCTATGCTCAAACTCTGTTCACAATTTTTTTTAACATCATCTTAATAAAATGGCCTAAACATGCAACTTTTACTCACTCAAGTAGTTCTCATTCATATAAGTAGCTATATTATGGAAATTATATAGGATGGGTCACTATGATATTAATCCTGCAAAGATTTATGCATGTGCTAAACATGAGGCACAGGAAGTATCAATGCCCAAAGAAGAACCAGTTACTGGTTAGTAACCTTTCTTTCTTCTTTGGGGGACTTCATGCATTCCCATTTCTGAGAGACCAGCAAGAAGTGTTACTTAGGTCAGTGCTTCTCAAAGCCGGTCCACCGCTTGTTCAGAGAAAGCCCCTGGTGGTCCGGGCCGGTTTGTTTACCTGCTGCATCCGCAGGTTCGGCCAATCGCGGCTCCCACTGGCCATGGTTCGCCGCTCCAGGCCAATAGGGGCTGCAGGAAGCGGCGCAGGCCGAAGAATGTGCAGTGTTATATCGGGGTAAAGCTGTACTTTAAGAGAATGCTATTTACGTTGCAAAGTCCAACACCTGAAAGCTAGGGAATGCCGTGCAACCTTAATTCAGCTCCCTTGTGCATCCATCCTGTGCACTGAATGGGGGAGATGGCCGGTGGAAATAACAGTATGTAATTAAAGACAGTATCATAATGCATATGCACAATGAGAGAGGGAGCAATGATAAATCTGCCATTTCCTAACTTTTTTCATAGTTAACTTTGCAACCTAAACAACATTCTTTTAACTTATTTTTGTATGTAATTTACCTTTTTCTTCATTATTAAAAACTACTAGAAAAAGCAAATAACATCTGCAGCTATAATAACCCCTCCATCACATATGATCAGCGAGGTTTGAACTCTGAGCCTTCAAAAATACAGTAGAGATTACTCAGCAATACAGTACAGATTACTACCATTTAGGCTACATAACTAACTATATCAGGCAGCAGCGGCAACAGAAGTTTGTTATCCCCCAGCATGGATGGACTGTTGGGATCAGGTCCTGCAGGTTGTCAGTGATGGAGGAGCCCCACACAGTCAAGCTCTTTGTCTTTCCAGCTCAGGAGCTGAGAGGAGCTCTTGCCCCATCTAGTGTCCCTAAAGTGGAAGAATGAGCCACCAAAACCAGATGCTGGAGAGAGCCAGCCCTGGCTCTCTTTCCCCCTCAACCTTGTTGCATGAGCTCCAGCCCTAGGTGAAGTCCCCAGCGGTGAGGTGGGATGGGCCATTGGGACACAGTGTTGGATTTGTGAGAGGGGAAGCCCAGTCTAGTTTCTGTCCCATGTGGTGCTCCCAGAGAAGGACAAAGATCACTGTGATCCTCTTTGCAGATTCTGAGGCCTAAAATCTGTTTTAATCTGGATTACTATAAAAAGCCTGAGATATTTATTAAAGACGAGGGTGAATTTTCAAGTAGATTCTTTCCTTTCTTTGGCACAACGTTGAACAAGGCAGCACAAATGCACATAGATATTTTCAGGAGCAAACACTTCTAAGGTTATTTGAGAGCATCCTGTTCAACCACTACACCATTTGTGTGGAATTAATAAGTGCTGCATAGGAATGGAATGGAATTCTTTCATCCACTTATTAAAAATACAAATTTTATTGTAAAAAGAACAGGAAAAATAACTTTCATTGTCTTCAAGGACACCTAAAGTCTTCTCCCAATGACAGCTATATTAGATACAGTTTAAATGTCACTTTTATTCTCAGCATGCATTATCCACTGCTAGTCATCCCGTAAAAAACACTTAACACACATACAGTGTGAATTGAAAGAAAAATTGCCTCGTTTTAGAAGGCTCCATTTCAAAGCTCAAGGATACATTAAACTAATTTCAGATCACATTAGTATAGCTAGATATGTCAGAAAACAAACTCTCTGTAACAACAGAATGTACTTTTCTACATGCACTATACTTAAAATATACAATCTATTCCTCATGCCAAAAGAATGTCTTATTTCACAACATGAATGTCTTTGTTCTAACCAGCAATATGCCAAACTGTGTAAAAGATTATAAGGACTAAAGAGATATTAGGCAACATTTCAACACTGGTGACTTAAGAAAAAGAACACCTACTCCTGACATGTAGAAAAGACGTCCCCATGCCCTATCCCCTGCTCCCGAGGAATCTATGACAGAAATAACCGTTTTGGAATCCATACTTACATTTGCTTGAACAATAACAAAATAACGTGTCTTTTCTTCATAATTTAGTCTCTCCCGTAAAACTACTGCTCCAGACAAAGTGAGAGGAATGTCAAAGGTCCTATTGGATGTCTGCAAAAGCCAAAACAACAAAAATAAGAATTCATATGCTGTATTTTAATGTTAAATAATGCAGACAGCTTACAATGGATACCTATATGTATGATAATCAAGGATATATTAGGGAAGTGATTAATTTGTCTGATCAGTTCTTTGTACATTTTTATTTGATCAAGCGGGTTTCATATGGACCCCACAATAAAGATTCTGTAGGTAACTTGGCACCAGAATCTTTTTCATGTATTATTACTTCCATTCATAAAATGTCATGAGATACTTGTGAGCAGAGACTTGGGAACACTGGTCTTTCTTATATTTCCTTTTCACAAGTCTTGAATCATTGATGGACACTGCAGATAGGGTAGTTCAAAACAACTTTTTTCTGTTTATCAAAACATATTCATGTTCTTTGACTTCTTCCTGTTGTCCTTTCCTATATTCAAGGAAGCTTTCCTGCTGCTCAGAAAGTACTTTCAAGTATCAGAGACTTTAATAATGATAATAAAAAAAAGATTCATAGCCTCATCGACTTTAAGGCCAGATGGACAATCATGATCACCTAGTCTGACCTCCTGCACATCACAGGACACAGAATCTTACCCATCCACTCCTGCAATAGACCCATAATTTTGGCGGAGTTACTGAAGTCCTCAGATCATGATTTAAAGACTTCAAGTTAAAGAGAATTCACCATTTATTCTAGTTTAAATCAGCAAGTGACCCATGCCACAGGGGAAAGAGAAAAACTACCCTCTCCCCCCGCCCCCCCCCCCATTTTCCAATTTTGTGGGGAGATGCAAAAAGTTAAAAAATAAGAGTAGAGTAGAGACCCCCATTTAGACCTCCATTCAGAAACGCATTTAAGCACATGCTTAAATCCAACTGGGTCTTTTGCTGGATAGAGATGGAGTTATTCATATGATTAAAGTTAAGCAGTGCCTTACTTATTTTGCACCTTATTTAAATCAAAGGTGAAATTCTATTTCCACTATATTTCCACTTATTTAGATAGACCGATTCCATTTTACAGTACTGAAACTACCATGTTTCATAAGACTAAAACTGATTTACTTTGACGGCCCATTTTGAAAGAAGATAATCTAGAAGTTGAAACATAGGATTAGAGACAATTGATCAAGACCATGTTCTCAGTTCTGTCAGTGACTGTCTCTATAACATTGAGAATCTTTCTGTGCCTCGGTTTTCCTATCTGTAAAATGGAGATATTTATTTAATTTACAGGTATGTTGTGGAGATAATGTTTATAAAATACTTTAAGATACATCCATGAAAGGCTTTGTAAAAGAACAAAGTATTTTCTTTCCTTAAACAGACTATTATGGCAAGTTTTTTTCCTCTAATGATGAATAATTCAGGGTTGAAAATGTTTGTTTAAATTGTGACTGATTTTTCAGTAAACAAGTGGTACACATTACAAGTTGGCCATGTTATAGATAGCAGTTGTTTGCTGATCTGTTTACTTTTAATTTGACAGTTATGTCTTTTTGGACAAAAATAAGCATAATCAGTGTTGGAGAGACAAACTGAAAAAAAAATCTACTGAAATGCAAACACTTCATATGGAAGCAGAAGAAAAACTAAAGTAGAGCCAGTGAGATAGCAAGAGCAAAGAAGAATAATTTAGATATCCCTCAAGGCAAGAAGAACTTTAAAATGGTAAAACTGTCATTGAAAGTTAAATTTTAGTTTTACCAACCTCAGCAGTGTCTTTTCAGATTGAAGGCAGGTGTAGATTTTGAGTGAAGTAAGCTTTTTTTTTTTTTTGCTTCAGATGTTTCAGTTTAAAAAAAAATCCACTTTAGCTTAAAAACTATCATGGTTATATGTTCTTTACCCAGCACTAAGAAATAGGCTACTGGGTTTTCATAATAAGTACTCTAATATAAAACTAAAACTACAGCATTTAAAAAAAAACCCACACAAATCAAGCACATTGCTATATGACACCACTTCGGGAATGACTGCTTTAGCATTTAATGCATTCAAATAATAAGGCAACGATGCTTGTGCAATAATGTGCCATAATGCAATGCTGTGTTTATTTTAAACAAATAAAATATTAAAAGATAAAACAAACAGATTCTAAATGGCAAATATTAGAAGCCATGAAAAAAATATATATATGTAACCCAGACAGAGTTCCTGGAGGCACACTTTTAAAAAAAAAGTCATATAAACTTAGCCCAAATATAGTAGTACTACTAAAGTGATGCAATGTCATGGGAGGCAGTAGAGGTGTTGGGTTATAGGTGGTTTGTGGCATGATGGTTTTCCTACAGGTGAAGTGTGCATCTCTGTGTTGAGGAGTAAAAGGTATGCCATGTCAGATGCCTTAATTTATCACTTTCTTGCTTTTGTGTAAGGTTTGTTATGTATAGAGGAACCTTAACTCACATACAACATAGTGCTTTGTGCCTAATATATGTAAAACATTTTAGTTAAATGAGTTTTGGTAAAATATTTTCTGTGAATTGACCCAGCACAGGAGGGGAGATGTGGACTGATTTCATGTATGGATCTCTATTCAGAAAACATGAAATGGGCCTATAGTTCTGCCATAGATGGGTGAGGTCCTGCTAACATTTGCTGCTGTGGAATGGAATGTTGTAAGGATGAAGTAGTATGGGAGACCAATCAGAGTAGGGGTTGGGATGGGACAAGTGCACAGAGATGAAAGGGTTGGATCAGGAGTGCTAATGTGCATGGAGAGTGCAATAGGGGGGAAAAAACACCAGATTCCTAGTTGGTGTAAATCAGTATCACTCCATTGAAGTAAATGGAGCTACAACACTTTATACCAGTTGATGATATGCCCCCAAAATGTAAGAGACTGTGCAGGGGAATGTTCAGCAGTTGTGAAGATGGGCAGGCTGCCAGGTTGAACTGGCATCAACCACTGGTGATAATGGAGTGGGAAAGGGAGAAACCTGATGTTGCTGATGGAGTTGGGAGGAGAGGGGACAGGAGTTCTGAAAAGTCTGAGAGGTAGTCAGAATGGAGGCTAGGAAGGGAGCAAATAGAAGTACAAAGAGAGTTGTCAAGCAAGTGGCCTACTGATAATGAAGTAGATTATACAGGGTGAGTACCAATTTAAACATAATACTGCTTGAATGAGGGGGTAGCTGGTGTTTATAGGCATAGCTCCACCAATGGACCAGTAATGCACAGATGGGTGAGAGCTGTACAGCAACTAGGCAAATGGGTCAGAACCAAGAAGGGGCTGGTGACTGATGGGTTGGAATGGGATATTAAATAGCTAAAAGAGACAAGGAGTCCAATCAGGAGTTAGGAAGGGTTCAAGGCTATGTGTATGGACTGAAAGGAAGGAGGAAAGTTAAAGAGAAAATTGGAGAATCTCTTAAAATCATGAGTAGTAGGTAAGTTGCTCTGAATTTCAACTTTGAACAACAATTTCTAAGCCCTTTTTGCACACCATAACTCTGAAGCCCAATGAACATCATGCTGGTTGAAGGCAATTGTAGCATTAGCTTCTGCAGTTTTGTGCATGATCACACACTCCAATTTTCTCCATTGTACTCAACAATGCAAGAAAGTCACTGGAAATTGGTTCTCCACTTCAGCAGTAGGAGCAGCAGTTGCAACATTTAGATGTGTGGTAAGTGCTTCTGGGTTTCTGCTGTCTGGCAGTTTTCTACTCAGTAGAGAGAGCCAGCAGCTTTTGCCTCAATATTTTTTTTAAAGGAATTTGCTAATATATGGCAGAGACGTTGTGAATTAAGTAAATAACTGCAAACATCTGTGATTACTGTACAGTATCATAACGTAAATGCATATGCCACTTCTAATCCATGAGTGAGATTTCCATGGTGGCTCTGGGCCCTTTACCTGAGAGATAAAGTGCCAGAGCAGCATAAAGGGACCCTAATAGAACCAGATTCAGATGGGTGAAAAACAGGAACTGAGGAAGACATCCAGGCTTCAAGGAACCCCTGGCAAGTCCTGGGATAAGGGATGTGCTAGGTCTGGGGACAGGAAGGGTGTGCCTCAGGGGGTCTGGAGCATGCAGCACTGTGGAGATTCTGGCAATACTGCTGCGCAAAGAAAGCTGGAGACAGACTTTCCTGAGGAATTGTCTAATATTAGGCCAGGGCTGCTCTGGCCCCGAAAGCAGACGAGGTTCATATGGGTTCACAGCTGCTGCCCTGTGCTGACAGTTCTGTACTGGGCCTCTTAGGGTATGTCTACACAGCAAAGAAAAACCTGTGATTGGCCCATGCCAGCCAACCCAGGCTTGCCAGGCTCAGTCTGCGGGGCTTTTTCATTGCTTTATAGACTTCCAGAGATGGGCTGGAGTCCAGGCTCTAGGACCCTGCAAGGTGGGAGGGTCCCAGAGCTGAAGGTTCAACCCAATACCATCCTTTTACTGGGTAGAAAGATGTTCTAGTTACAAAAGGTGACAATACGAATATTGACAAATCTAATGGATATAACCCCTGACTCTTTATACAAAAAGAAGGTCTTAAGAAGTTCTCATCAGAAGTATCTAAACATTGGAGCTTTGTTGAATGAGCACCTAGTGTGACAACTTTTAATGTTTAATTAGACAGGCAGACAATGCAAATTTGTGCATCTTTTCAGTAGAGGTTAATATCTACCTACCTATCAGTTTTTCATTGCCACCAAATTTGTCCTTATTTTTGGTGTGCAACTTTATCAGGACTATGGGCATCTTCTTTGAGTATTTTGTGCTACATCTTAATTCACAATCTATCCTATGCAAGGGGAAACACATAGCTGTTTGTAGTATGTCACTTGGGGCAGCTACAAGGATGCTGCACTTGCTGGGGGGAGAGCCAACGCTCAGTCTAATCCCTCCCTCCCATCTGTGTGGAGGTCACAAGAAAGCAGTGGCTTTGCAGAGTCTGCTTTTGCCTCTTGTGCTTACAGGTTGCCCACGAAAGAGTGTAGAGGGGTGGCCTTACACCTCCATACTCACTTTTGTGGCTGCATAGTGCTGGTGATGATCTAGC